AATACGCCAGGATCTGGACAATAAAGATGTATCGTATCTTGTCTTATCTTATCTTTTTTCATCTTACTTTTTTATCTCTGCCCATATTTTTAGGACTTTTGGGAACACTAGTATTTAGAAACATGCCATAGACATCAATGGGTTTTGTAATAGTCTTTTGCTGTTAGTTTTTGGATCTCGCAGTTGTTTTAAATAATATATTTTCTCGACGAAGTTCTCCTCAAAGTAGGTATAGTTGTAGTTTCATCAGAACAGCGAGCAGAAAGCGCCTAAACCCCTCCCCGCCCCCCACATACTCTCTCTCTCTCTCTCTCTCTCTCTCTCTCTCTCTCTCTCTCTCTCTCTCTCTCTCTCTCTCTCTCTCTCTCTCTCTCTCTCTCATGCACACACACACACACACACACACACAAACACAAATACATACACACAATCACACACAAACACACACACTCAAACACAACATGAACTCACACACAAACACAACCCTAACACACACACACACATATACGCACAAACACAATCCCAACACACATACACACGCACAAACACACACACACACACACACACACACACACGCGCGCGCGCGCGCGCGCGCGCGCACTCAAACATAGACCCCCCATTAACACATACACCCGTAAACGCACACACAGACGCACGCATACAGACGCACACACTCAAACACACAAATACACACACACAAACACACACACACATACACAAATTCACCCTAACCCTCCACCTTACTATCTTCCTGAATTGTTCGTCTTCCATCAGGTGACAGGGTTGCCATCGACCCGTGCCGCCCATGTAGTCACTGCCGACAGTGCAGCAAGGGCCAGACTAACCTATGTGTCAACATGACGCTCTCAGGTGTCATCAAAATTGACGGAGGCTTCGCAAATTTCATGACCACCCCAGCTTACACTTGTCACAAGTAAGGAAAGCCGGCTTCGTCAGTATGCGGGAAGAGCAGCCAATAAGCCTCTACAATTACTGAAGCCAAAGATAGACTAGCAGTGCTAATGCAGAACCATTACTGCCGACTTTTCTGTCTGCAATAGCCAATACAATAATGACCGAACGATTTGTTAGAAAAGAAGCAGAGAATGAAATTTTTCTGCATTTAAAATAATTTTTTGTAAAATTACTTTGAGGATTATCCTTTTTTTTTGTTGACATACCAGATATGAAATGGGGGAAATAAAAATATTGCACATAACTGGGATTCAAAAGATTTAAATGCGATTGCTAAGTCTTTCAGTTTCCAAATCCACTAATGTAAAAAAGATGGCACAACAGTAGACCCGGTAAGTGAAAAATCTAGAGCTTTCTTTTCAAACGAGGTGAGGTTGCAGATAAAGGGATTACTGCGACTGCAAAGTAAGGGACTTATTATTAGAGAAAGCTTTGAGATCTCATTATTGTCCACTCCCTCGTCACCATCTTTACCCTATCTTGATAGTACAGTTAGTTCTAGATTTTCCAAATGATATATCGCATATTAGCATTTTGTTTTAGCCTTTTTTGTGTACGTCTAAGGCTCTGGTAGACTCAAATAGCTACAGTGTTCCCGACTTTTTCCGATGCCGATTTTGGGATCTTTGAGGTGTTTTTTGTGTTGGTCTGTTTTGTTTTGTATTGTTTGGTTTGGTTTAAATACGAGTGAACAACATATATCCTTAAGATTAGCAGCTGGGCTTAAAATACAGCAGGTGCGAAGAAAAGGTGATAAAAGGCGCTACTATGTCAGAAATTAATGAAATAATATGGGTGGCTCTCTACAAGAAAGAACCCCCCCCCCCCTTTTCCATCCCCTTCACCTCACCCCTGTGTTGGAAACTAGGCTATTTCATTTATATCCTATTCTGGACTCAAAGCTAAGCGTATCTTTAATTACTTTGAGAACTTTTTAAAAAATGCGATTTGAGAACTGTTTTATGTTCTCTTCTTGCTTGCAACTCCGGTAACTCAGAACTACAAAGTTCTATCTGACATTTCTAGCTGTTTTGAGTTACTAAGACGGCGATGTCAGAAAGCCCTGGCTGCTCCTTCAAAATCGTAAGAATTTTCGGAGTCGTTACCAAGATGTTAAAAGAATTGCATTTGAAGAAAAAAAATTAGATCTTATGAAATTCAAAAATTCTGACGTGAAATTTCTCAAAACTAGGCATTGAACAGACAAAACTTTGTATTTCTGTGGTATTGGCTAGTTTTGAAATAATGTTTCTTTAGTATTAAGTATCATAGCAGCGGCATGGTGCTAAGTTTTCTTTTGGCTCTTTAGGCAACGCATAATTTTGTTTAAGAATGTTCAATTTTTTGGTCATTTTAGTTACAATCGACGCTTGTACATTAAAGACATAAGACTAAAGAGGTAGGCAAGGTGCTGAGTTTGGGGCTGAAAGAGTTAACAGTTAAACAGAAATCTAATTTAATCCGTAAACTTTTAGACGGCTTGTTTAAGGACACTTTCGAGGTCATTTTGTTTTTTTGCATGATGAACAAGTTAATGATAAACTTAACATTCATGAGTCATTTTTTAATGGCTAAAATGCTTGCCCAAGTCGTTGATAATTTTGATTAGCAAGGCTGAATATTTTGTGCAACATGGAATACTGACATAACAGTGAGGATATTACAATCCCGGTCCCATTCGAATTGTATAAAGCTATGTATATCAATTATGGATTTCCACTAATAACAATGATACCAATAATAATAATAATAATAATAATAATAATAATAATAATAATAATAATACT